CCCCCCCCCCTCCCCGTCCACCTACAAAGAGAGTATAAAACGTCACTCCATTTCAAAACTATTGAAAATGTAAATCACTAATGCTTCCATCCCAAGGTTCTCTGGCGAGAAAATATGTCACAACCATTTGGGAGTTGGAAAAATTGTTCCTATATAACAAAATTGACTATTATAAACCATTAGAATTCAATAATCAAATAAAATGATACGATCTAAAACTACGCTAACTATGGGAAAAGACGTCTTCAAATGGCAAAAGTACGTCATTTCTACCAAATCAAAATTGGAGAAAATTTGTGTCATCCCAGAAACAAAAAAAAGAGAAAGGTAATTTTAACAACTGACTTTCATCAACGAAAATTATAAGACTTAGCTTATATAAAAACTTTGATATCCGATATATGCACCTAAATAGACTGTTAATATCTACAACAAAAACAACTAATAGAAAATCGGCATGTTATGGTCAGCAGTGAGCTACGATTAGCATTTTGGAAACTATTTTTGAATAAACCCGTCAAAAAGTACTAAAGTTTCATTAGTTGAAAAAGCTCAAGAAAATTCATTCAATGTAAAAATAAAAAAATTGTTTACTTACACAGAATAGTCATCTCACTTCAAACTAAAAATTATAAAACAAAGCCCCAGATCTTTGAAACCAACTGATGAATCCTTAAAGAACTCCAATAACACCAACTAGCTGCCTGAAAACGCAAAAAAAGTAGATTCCTTCTTTCATACAAACTCTAGCCGGATAACATTCAAAAAGCAACTGTTAAGTTGTGTGTGAGTCAAAAGTTCTTAGGACAAAACCACTTACTACGCTGAACCAGCTAAAATCACTTTGGCTGCTGAGCTTCCGATTTTTTCTCGACTGCCTGAGCCGTTTCAGGCAAGGGTACAGCTTTAGGTGCATGACTAGACTTCTCAGGCGGAGGTGGTGGATACGGTGAGATTCCCGTAATAAATGCTTCCAGTGCTTCCATTTCTTCTTCCTTCTTTAACATCTCAACAATTTTTTTTATTTCAGCAACCCGAATTTGGAGATCCTTATGTCTGCTTAGCAAGTCAATCGCCTAAAAGACATTACGGAAGTTATTAGCATGCAATTAATAGTCATCTAGGACATAACTCAAACAGTCCCCTCGGAATGATAACAAACTCAATCCAACTTCTCAACACTGGATCAACTTAACACGATGAAACCAACTGTTAATTAAGCACACCCAACAGAGCAAGAAAGGCTCTCAGTATTACGTTCTTTAAAGAAAAATATTATTAACCTGGAGCACAATATTAGGGTCAATTAAACCATCTGTATCGTCATCGAGAGCCCGGACAACCTTAAAAAAATTAAAGTAGTTCCTGTATAATAAAGGCGTACAATCCGCACTACCAATAATGTTTTCAAACAGAGGCGCAAAAAAGTTTTAAAGTAGCAGAAAAAAAAAAGGCGAAAAAAATTGAAAAACCGACTTGCTCTATTTCTTGCCTCTTCTCTTTGTCCGGCAATTCACGCAAACGATGCAGTGAATGAACCAAATCATCGACACGCATTAAACTTGCTCTACAAAAGATAATTAGTCCGAAACTTTATAAAGGTGCAGTGAAAAAATAAGTCTCAAAAAGTGCAAGAGAAAGAAAACTTGATGAAACTGTTGCGATGACACAAGCCTACATCTAGAACACTTGAACAGCACTACAACTTACAATCAACTAAAACACGCAAGAAAAGTTCCATCCGCCCGTTCAACTTCTATATAATAATCTCTTTAAAAAACTCTTAGTTACCATAACAGGCACAACCATGAAATTTTAAGCAATAACGACTGTCTGAACATCAAAATCGAATTTGATTTCAACCACAGAACATACTTCTTTCTGCTGTCCTCTCCTTTAACAGCAGGATCAGCCACTGTTTCACTAATATCTTTTCTTTTCTGCTCCAACTGAGCCACCAGTACATCCAAGTTTTCAATGATGTGAGTAACATGACGTCTTAGACGTTTGGCACCCTTAGGTTCGGCAAGATCCTTTTTAAGTGCATCAACTTCTATCAGGTCCTAAAAATCAACCAAATAGTATTAGAAGAAACTGAAATAAAGGGAAGAAAGTTAGAATATAAAGTCAAAGAGACCAACATAATACCTCTGCTGCAATCATTAAACTAGGAAACTGTTACACAATACGCACCTGCTCATTAATGAATATGATTCAAACAAAATATCTCAAAATATCTAAGACAAAAGCTAAAAGAAGAAGAAATCCAGAGGGGTGTAAAATTAATCTGCTAGATGCCGTATAAACTCCAAGGCAGAGCTCATTACTGCAAAGCCTAATGAAAATAGAACTTCGAGACTAGGATCAACAAATAATTCTGAGGATAAAACAGCCGCTTCAATTACATTGGTTTATTGCTAAATTACAAAATTTCGCTGTAAAAAAAAAAAAAAAAACATACTGACAACGAAAATGGTCATAAATGTAGCACAAAGCTACAAGACCCAAGTCCAAATTGAACAATATGACCGTATCTGAAGCTTATGAAGAAATACTAAACAATACACCAAAGCCCAAACCTCAGTACGCTCTTGAACTTTCTCCTTCAACTCTGTAATATCATGCTTCGCTTCCGAAACAGCACTCCCGTG